TTATATGTATAAATGTATGTGCACACACACACACACACACACACACACACACACACACACACACACACACACACACACACACACACACACTGGCTATGGGGGAGCTGACGAATATTTGAACATCATGTGAAGTGCATGTTGGAGCGTTCACGTATGACACGCTCACTTGAAATCCTGGTGCACCCCCTCACGCAAATTGGGGCCCCATATTATTCATGTATTCAGTTGAAGTGTATTTTTGTATTCGGTGAATTGATATATGACACAATAGATTTTAAATTAATTGTTGTATTAATCAAGTATTAACACATTAAATCACGCTATTTATATTGGGCTCCTTTTTTAGTTATTTTGCCTGATGTAAGTAATGAACTGATTAGAAAAACTGGAGCATCAAAGTGCAGCAGTGGTTCAAAAAATGTTGAGGATGTGCTCATGACATTAAATCCAGGAAGAAATAATTAACACATAACAGGTACTCTTCAAACACGGCGGGCAAAAAAAAAGTTCATAAAAAGCTTTTTTCAATTAACCGATGAATTGTGATCAATCAAAATAACCGTTGACAGCTCTAATATATCTATCAAAGAAATGCGCAGCGTGCATCAAGGGTTGGTACGTTATTTCAAAATATGTTGAACCGCTGAGTGGTATTTTGATTTGGTTTTAAGCTGTGGTGCAATCCAGCGCTTTGACAGTATCAGCTGGGCTTTGCTTTGCTTTGGAGACTGCTTGCTCAACAGAAGGTTCAACTGGGAGTTTTAAGCGGAAATTTCGACACTGAATTGTCATGAAATTTCAAAACCAAACCAAGAGACATGATAAATGCTGACATTGGCAATACAAACCAGAAGAAGCACTGATTCACGTGGATGAAAAGCAAGCAAAGCAAATAACACGGTTAATTTGAAGAGAAGTGAAACTTATTGACACCCATTTCTGACTCTTTTTGTTCCTTTCCCTTTGCACCGTATGCAATTTTTTTTTTCTGCTGTGTGAATGGCAACAAGTTGGTTCGCATGTCAATTGCACTTTCTGCCATCTGGTGGAAGAGCATTTTAATTGTTCAGCCTGTCACCAGACAAAAACACCACATTCTTCTTCTTCAATAAATAAATTCTGGACCAATTAAGTGAAATTGTCCAATTATTGGGAATCACTGCACGAGTGGATACATTGAGCACTTGGTCTTCATGTGCATTACTGCGACACAACGGAGTTTGTTTGCCTTGGCAAAATGGTTGATGCTTTATTTATTTGCAGTTATCCTTTTGTTTGCACTGCTGTTTAGTATGCATTTGTGAAAAGCAATACCGTCGTCTGGGACTCTCTACCAATCAAGCTCTCTTTTACTTTTTGCACTTATGGTGATATGTATTCAGCTTTTATTTGGCCAGGCAAGCTACATGCAAAGTACTGACTATGACTGCCCATTCATGGAGCGATAGCCTGACATGAAGACGGCGGCAGTCGTTTGAGGGCTGCAACTAATCAGCTGAACTTTTTCAAAACATGCACAACAGACTTCACATTTTATTCAGTTGCTGTAACTTTTGTCTCATCCCATCAGGGGTTCCCACAGTGAGTCACTTGTATGATTTATTTGGCAAGTTTTGCACCAAATGTGCTTTCTGATGGAACTTTTCTCCCTCTTCTTGTTTTAATAAATAAACATTGAGTACCCATATGACATCTCTGGCAGCATCAATCAATTGTGAGACTTCTTGCACATAAAATAAGACTGTACACTGAAAGATTGTGTATATGCCAAGTCAAGTCAGCTTTATTATTTTTTTCATGTACTTATGTTGTACTTAATGAAGTGGATGTCCTGTGTATATATAAGGTCAACCAAAACATGACAGTATTTTCACTGCTGTCATCTTATTCTGTTTTTTGGAATTCATCTTTCCATTACATTAAAATTAAAAACAAAACACATGTATTGTGAGCGGCCTGCTTCTATTTTTTACCCACTTGGGTACTTATGTTGTACTTAATGAAGTGGATGTCCTGTGTAAATATAAGGTCAACCAAAACATTACAGTATTTTCACTGCTGTCATCTTATTCTGTTTTTTGGAATTCATCTTTCCATTACATTAAAATTAAAAACAAAACACATGTATTGTGAGCGGCCTGCTTCTATTTTTTACCCACTTGCCATTTGAATTACGGTAATGCATCTTCCAGGTTGATTGCACATCCAAAATGTTGGCTTGCACACTTTGACCACACCACTAAGTTCTTAGTTCGCCAGATGTTAGACAGAAAAAAAAATCTCTTTCTTATTGTGCTACCTGTGTGAGAGGCAAAATATGTTTACAGTGATCAGATGACCATTTTTATGATGACCTGAGGAAAAGAGGGTCACATTTTGGAGAGTGCATCAATGTGGGAGCTGGATTACTTCTCTCTGACTGCCCTCATTTATGGACTAGACTGGACTGTACAAGCAAACTCCAATGGGGCAGACAAACACAAGAGGTCACCATGTAGAAGGGAGTTGCAGGGGAGATCAGCTGCAAATGGTTTCCTCTTCAAGTGTTTCATAAAGAGCAGGCTTCAGATAGCTGTGTGATTAATATGCTGATGTGCCCGTGTAATTGATGAAAAGCAGTGATCGCTGTGTTGAAGATGTTATGAGATGTGCTGGTCCAATGTGTAAAGCAGATACTATCACGTTGGAGTGTTGCAACATTCCTGTAAACATGTTTTCATTGATGGCATACTTCGGGAAGTAATCGTGCAACACATTTCTCATTTGTAGCACATTTATTTTTAAAAAATAGCAAACAGGAAATAATTTGAGCTAAATACCAAAATTTGTATGATCTGAATACTTTTGATGTACCCTGTAACCACCGTTGAAGGAAAATGTATATTAAAAAAAACACTCTCCTGTCTCCTTCTGTATTTTTGTCATGAAGTTGATTGTAGTCAACTCAGCAGGGCTTACTGCAGGCGTGACCGCAGGTTGTCCTGCAGCATTTCTGCTCCTCTGGACATTGACCATCATGGTAGCAGTACTCTGCACACATGGGAGTTCCTTGGGGCAGAGCGCAACGGCCCGGCTTCACTGACATACCAAAACACAAAAGATTGCATGGTTACAAAGCAAAAAAGTACCAAACGGACCAATGCGGCCACGGGGCACTAAAAACTCTTAAGCTAACCTTTGTAAGGGACCGTGCACTCGTGTCCGCATCCGTTGGAGCAGCATTTCTCCTCATTGGGACAGTCACTGTCGTCATAGCAAAACTCGGCACACTGCCCATAGCCCCACTTTCGACGCGGACACACTCCTGGTTTATCTGAAAATCAGATCCCGAAATGAGCAGGTTTTAATGAAATGTTCTGTAAACCCGCGTTGTTACAGCTACAGCTGCTGTGTAAGCGCCACACAAATAAAATGTGTTGGACGGGTGTGTCGCAGAGAAGCACAAAAGTCTGATTGACTTCCAAAAGGGAAACAAGTTTGTAATTCGTACTGAAAGAAGGAGCGACGCAGACATCTTCACAGTCGAAGACGCAACACTTGTGGTCCCCAGGGCAGTCTTGGTCACTCACACATCCCCTTTTTGATGGTGCAAATAAAGGATTACGGGAACATTCGCCTGGTTTTGGGTGAATCTCTGAGTGAAAGAACAAAACAAAACATCTTGAATCATCCAAGAGTGTCATGTTTTTAAATGACTAAAAATAGCAAAGAAAATGATCAAGAACTTACTGAGAGAATCCTGAGTAAAAACCGGTTGAAATTGCACAAATGCACTGAGCGCTAAAACCAACGCAGAAACAGCGTACTTGTCCATGCTTGTACAAAAAAAAACACTCTCCTGTCTCCTTCTGTATTTTTGTCATGAAGTTGATTGTAGTCAACTCAGCAGGGCTTACTGCAGGCGTGACCGCAGGTTGTCCTGCAGCATTTCTGCTCCTCTGGACATTGACCATCATGGTAGCAGTACTCTGCACACATGGGAGTTCCTTGGGGCAGAGCGCAACGGCCCGGCTTCACTGACATACCACGAATGTGCTCTTGATTCCCTCTGTTGGGACAAACAAGACTTGCAGGTTTGTCGCCCTGAAGGGGATGCTGGGTCCTTGTGCCTGTACAATACAATCACATCCATCCATCCATGTTATTATTCGCTTACCCACACAGGGGTCGCGGGACATGCTGGAGCCTTCCCAGCTGCCTACGGGCAGTAGGCAAGGGACACCCTGAACCAGCTGCCACCCAACCGCAGGGCACACAGAGACATAAAAGCATCAAAAAAGTACCAAACGGACCAATGCGGCCACGGGGCACTAAAAACTCTTAAGCTAACCTTTGTAAGGGACCGTGCACTCGTGTCCGCATCCGTTGGAGCAGCATTTCTCCTCATTGGGACAGTCACTGTCGTCATAGCAAAACTCGGCACACTGCCCATAGCCCCACTTTCGACGCGGACACACTCCTGGTTTATCTGAAAATCAGATCCCGAAATGAGCAGGTTTTAATGAAATGTTCTGTAAACCCCGCGTTGTTACAGCTACAGCGAAAGCGCCATATAAATAAATTGTACGGGAGGGTGTGTTCCAGAGTAGCACTTAAGTGTGATAAACTTTCATGATGGGAAAATCGTACTTAAAGAAGGAGGGACGCAGGCAGCTCCACAGTCAAAGACGCAACACTTGTGGTTCTCAGGGCAGTCTTGATCACACGCGCAGCCCTTGCGTGATGGCACCACTTTCAGAAGACGAGGGCATCGGCCCGCTTTCGGCCGAATCTCTGAGGAAAAAAATCAAAACAAGAAAATACTGAATTAGACGAGAGCGTAAACTCGAAACAGATGTTTTGAAATGAGTAAAAACGGCAAGGAAAATGATAAAGGTCTTACCTGTCAAATTGTTTCGGGAATTCTGAGTAAAAACAACCTTGAACTGCACAAATGCACCGAGCGCTATAACCAACGCACAAACTGTGTACTTATCCATACTTCGACAAGAATGTGTTCTTGTTTTCCCCCCCGTTACTCTTGTTTTCCCCCCGTTAGGACAAACACGACTTTCAGACTGGGGTCGCCCTGGAAGAGGATGCTGGGTCCCTGTGCCTGTACGATACAATCACATTCTGTCGGAATATGTTCTAAAAGCTATTTTTTTCTCATGAAATCATTAACTCTGTATGTGTGGCCCCGTAGCAATCAGATTTAAGATCTTCCTACATATCCTGTTTAAGATAAATAGTAATCCTTTTCAGGATCGATTGGTTGGTCAGATCTAAATCCAGATCCCGATTAATCGTCTTATTTAGTTATTTACATCAAATTAGTTATAGTAACCACTAAAGAAAACTTATTCACGATTTTTTCAAGGTATTAAACGGGACATATATTTGGATAGCGCTTTGTCAAGAGCTGCAGCTGTACCAAAGCGCTTTACAGAGCATTTCACATAAAATAACACAAACAATACAGCACAACATAAAACACGCACAATATAATCATAACTACATGTTTGCACTGTGGTTGAGAGAGGAAAGTTATTTCATTTGTGCTTTATGTTGCACATAGAGCATATTTGACAATAACAACTGACTTGATAACTATTCCTGCATACACCTTGTTTGAAGCAGTTACCGATAAAAGAGAGACTCAATATCCTTTCTCCACTGGATCATAACAATGTGCATGACGTCACACAGGTCGGCTCAATTATCGAGTCATAAAGTGAGCAAATTGTCTTCGTAAAATGTTGTGATGTCTTAAACCCATACAATCTAACCAAATGACTGTAAAACATTTGTTTTGCCTCCAAGAAATTCAGAAATTAAGGATGTATCTTTGTCGAATGTTCCACTTTTACACACGCAATATGGCAACTTATCAACGTCCAATATGGTGCCTAAGGGGTTATCGTACATATTTCCGCGTCTGTGCGAAACACGTCAAGTGTCCAAATAGGAACTTCCCTCCTCAATAGGGAACAAGAACACGAAAGCAGAAATATTAACTTAAGGTGGCGGTAATGCGCACGGACCCTGGTTGCCAACTATACCGGAAGAAAGAAGAAACACAATCGCAATGGAGAAGGAATATGTGCAAATATTGCTTCTGACTTTGCGAGCTTATATTGGAACCCGTCATCGACTTCTTCAGTTTCTCCGTGACATGCATCAACAGAGATTACGTAACAGGAAGAAGGTAAGTTTGATAGTATTGTTATGATGAACACTGCGACCTATTTTCCCGATCTCTCTCAAAGTCTCAAATCTTCATGTCCCCGTGAATCGTCAGTCCACAGCTGGTTAACGTGTGCGTTAATTAGGCCTCGTCTTTGTTTTAAAAGTGAACCATTAATATGATTTTTCGAGGGCTCAACCCTTCAAAAAAGGGAAGTCATGAACCATCATATCATTTGATTTGTCCAGCTCAACCATTATTGGGATACTTTTCGCAACATACAGAATTGTATTTAATTTGTCAATTTATTATGTTGCTGTTTCCCCCCCCAACAAATACTCAGGAACCTTAAAATGTGTTAAATAAACATTGCCGAATAAATCCTTTACGATGAAATCAAGTTACATTTTATTTGGATACTAATTAATTTTTTCTATTACGAATAAAATTTTAGCATTACTCTAATAATAAGGTTGTAAATCAATGCTTACGTTAGAGTTTACCCACATGAACATTATTCCAGCTCGTTTAACTGCTTTGCCAGTTGGTCAAGAAAAAAAACACAATAATAAATGGAATTTAATCTGTTATTTTATCATCAAGCGGGATGGACAATGTCTTTTTAATGGTGTCTCAGAATCACTTTATTACAGCTGCGGTTATTGTTTGTCTTGGGACAACTCGAATTTACAGGTGCTGTTGTGGCTCATATCAAGGCGAGCGCCACCTTCTGTGTGGATGCGTCCGCGTTCTCGGCACTGGTGGGACCACGTTGTTCCGGATTTCAGCCCTTCGCAGTTCCAGCAGAATTTCCATTTATCCAGGAAGACCTTTGAGTACATCTGCGGTCGGGTGAGACGTGCCATGGGGAGAAGGGACACAAATTTCCGTCCCTCGATCCCTTTTGAAAAGAGAGTCGCGATTGCCGTTTGGAAGCTCGCCAACGGCGGTGGCTACAAGACCATTAGTCGTCTCTTTGGGGTGGGCCTGAGCACCGTGTACTTGTGTGTGCGAGACTTCTGCATCGCGGTCACTAAGCTACTCCTTCCCATCCACATCAGATGCCCCGATGCTGACAAATTGGTGGAGATGTCCACCTTGTTTCACGGCATTTGGGGAGCACCACAATGTGTGGGTGTACTCGGTGCTTGCCACATTCTCATAGCGATTCCGAATGAGAACCCCCAACACTACAGAAACCAGAAAGGCGGATACTCTGTCATTCTCCAAACGGTTGTGGATGGAAAAGGACACTTTTGGGACATATGTGTTGACTCTCCGGGGAGTGCGTGTGACGCCGCAGTGCTACAGCAGTCACCGTTGTGGGAGCTTCTAAGCGACGGGCAATTGTTGGGTCAAAACAAAGTCGACATCTCGGGCCGTGATGTTGGCCATTACCTCATTGGTGGCCCATCGTACCCCGCGGAGGAGTGGCTCATGACACCCTTCTGCGACACGGAAGACCTGACTCCGGAACAAGTCGCCTACAACTCCCGACTGAACGTTGCAAGGTCCGTTTTAGAAACAGCCCTCGGGAGATTGAAAGGTCGATGGAGATGCCTCACGAAGAAACTGGACTGCAAAGTGGAGCTCGCCAGGGAAATGGCTATTGCCTGCTGTGTACTGCATAACATTTGTGAAGAACATGGTGACGATTTCCAGGAGGCGCAGCCTGAAAGTCCACCTGGTCAGACTTCCCCTATGGACTGTACCGCACAAGGGCCTGGTATTAGAACCGCATTGCTGCAGTACTTTAGCGGGGACAATCAGTGAATGTCATCCATCCATCCATTTTACATGCCGCATAAACCAGCGCCTCTCCTGAAGGAACACTACTTGCCGGGCCCGTCGCCAAAGCATCACAGGATGCACAGATGACTCACAAAAATGTAAGGATCTTAGGCTTTCGCGTGAAATTTCGGGATGAACCTAAAATGCACTCTACCCTTACCAGCGGAACTTATTTGGACCATGTCTGAACTTTGAAATCTGAAATGTCCAGCTGTTCAGTGCTTCGGTTGTTTTTGCACAACATTCCTCTCGCAAGGAACTAACTAAATGTCAAAATTCACAGTATGCGTTTGGTTATTTATTTATGTATGTCATTTCCGAGGAGATCCACTTCTATACCTTTATTGATGAGACTCGATAAGCTCAGTTAGCCGCCACCTTTCTGAGAACATCCTTGAGTACTGTTCAATCGCTCGGTGTCAAAATGTGTACAGCGTGATGGGAGCTGTTTGAATGCCAATTCTGATTGAATCAGGATATTTTAGTCATCCATTCATGAATCGAACTCCTATTTTGAAATTTGCCATTGTATGATGGCTATTTAAAATGTATACTGTGAAGGAAGATCAACCTAAAAATATCATCTAAAGGTGTGGCAGGCCGCCGTGCATCATGGCCCACAACTGCAAACTATCATTTCGAACATCTTGTTAAATGTCTTTGATAGTGTCACGTAAAACAGGAGTGAATGATTTTATCGTGTGTCAGCCACGTGTCCACAGAGGTTTTTCTTAAACTATGGCACAGGCCCCTTGAGGTACTTGTTCAAATGGCGTTTCTGGTTACTGTACCAAATGTGATGACATGTCATGGTTTCTCCCTCCTGTGTTGTCATTTTAACATCAGGGTTGATTACGCAGCTCAGATTAATTTAAAAGCACACATTTTTAATAAAAAGTTTTAAAACCACAGTGTCATATTCGTAATTGATGACAAAGTAGAATCACCTCAAAATTTTACACCTGGTGATAGTCTCCACTCCTGTTTTTAATATTCTAACCAACCTATTTAGATAAATGACACATGATTGAATACAGATGTATGCCCCATTAGATTTGTTCAAGTGTACTTAATGAATTATCTTGTCAATGTGCCCTGAAGAAGAAAGTCCATCAATAAAAATCTACAGCAAGTCTTGTTGATCTTCCATCCCGCTTGTCCTCACTATGTCGGGCTGAAGTCGACAACATTCACCATCACTCGACAAGAATATTTTTGGAATGTGGGAAGAAACCCAAGAACGCAAACGTCACACGAGACGGCCGGAGCAGCCTCACGAACGTGCTCATCACTTTTATACCAAACGTACTGTTTTGGGAACACTTGGAGGGATAAAATAGAGCGTAATGGACGTCATTACATGGTGGGGTATACCTAATGAAGCGTCCGTTTTGTGTGAGTATATTCTCATCACCAACCGACAGAGGGCGCTGTCGTATCATTGCATGATGCCGACCTGCAATAGAAAAGGTCCCACTTAAAGCCATTGGAGGCTGCCTCACCTTCAATATCAGTTCACTTGCATAATTTCGATACGTTTTCCACTTCTTTTCATTTCAGTTTCATAAATAAGCGCAAATAAATAAAAGTCACATTTTTAAATAGCCAGTTTGTTTTAATCGGCCTCACAGTGCAGGAGTGCACGGTTAGATTCCGGCTCCGGCCTTCCTGTGCAGAATTTGCATGTTCTCCCCATGCCTGCGTAGGTTTTCTCTGGGTACTCCGGTTTCCTCCCACATTCCAAAAAAAAAAAAAAAAACATGCATGGCAGGCTGATTGAAAACTCCAAATTGTCCCTAGGTGTGAGGGTGAGCGCGGACGGTTGTTCATAAATGTGTGCCCTGCGATTGGGTGGCACCCCCCGCGACCCTTGAGAGAGGAAGCGGATTACAAACTGGATGGATGGATGAACTACTGTAAATAAAAACAAAGTCAATGGCGTGTGTCATGTCATTACTAGCACGGTCAAATTAATTTCTTACTTTTGTTTTTCACCTTGTGACATCATCTCTCAGCATTCACATGCAACCAGCAAAATCATTCAAAAAAAACATTTTTTTTTTTTTTTGTGGAATTAGACATGCATGCAGTTGCGGATCTTTTGTGCCATGAACATTAGACTGCTTCTCCCCAACCTTGAACAGCGCAGCTTTATACGGGAACGAGTCAATGACTCCCATACGCCTTCATATA